GGCGGGGGCTCTTGGGGGTGGGGGCTCTTTGGGGTGGGGGTTTACTTAACATAGTTTTAATTAAACTATCATACAATCTTGTTTTTCGCCTCCAAATTCTGGAAAGAATGTTGCAACCTGACGCTGCTTTTTTCTTCATATATCATCTCAATAAAGGTCGGTTATTGCAAAAAGATAAGACACGAATCTGGGACTGAGAAACATTTCCAATTTTGTTAAGAAATACTTAGAAAATGTTCTTGACTCTCCATAGACTTTGTACACAACCGCTGAAGTAGGGTCAGGTTGCAACACTCTTTCCCAACTTCTGTGTGGTTAGGAAGATGGGACAAATGGGTGGCGACACAGGTCTGCCCTCCCCCTCCCCCTGTCCTCCCCCCCCCCCCCATTCCCCTTCCTCGTAACGTTACACTGTAACTGCCCTGACCAACCCTCCCCCTTCGCCACTAGCCTCTCCGATTCGGTTCACCAATGGTTATAACTGACTCACGACCCCACCATCCACACCATGGCACAAAGCCCCACAAGCGAGATGCGTGTCATAATTGTGGGGGGAAGATTTGGGTCGCCAGGGCACATGTGAATAATTACAGTATGGTCAAGCTTGGCCTTGGGTCATTGGGATGGTCTGCACGGGTCAAATCACAAAAACACGTGATTCAGAGCTCAGGACACTATGACCGTCTAGGGCCTCACAATTTGTGAATCGTCACCTTTACTTTCAGCCCTACTTTAACTGTAACCGATTTAATTGATTTTGACATTGAGTGCCATGGTGTCAGTTGCTTTTAGCGCTGAAGTCCAACGCCAACTGGAAAATTGCGTGAGCAGAGTCAGTGATATCGTGCGAATATTTATCAACAAACTACCATTTGTATGGCTGAACGAAAGAAGTACATTTGAGTTTGACTGTGCAGCTGTCTTCAATTCATTAAATATAACAGCTGTCCTATAAGAATGGTTACTTTTTAAGATTTGAAAAAGTTCAGGGCGGTGAACTTAAATCACCCCCACCCTAAAAAAAGTGCAATTTGTTGCTTTCCTTAACCCTCCTATGGAAACATGCATTGTGAGCCATGTTATTACTTGGGTCTATATTGGTCAAGACCCCCATTGGTTTGTACACAGTATGCCAGGAGGTGAGGAAGAAAATTTGGACCATTTGTGCCCTCTTAAATAGTTTAATCGTATGGCAAGGAAGCACCAACTCCCCATAGGTAATCATTTCCACGATGCATCGCAATATCGACAACTGCCTTTTTTCAACTGTGTAGTTGTTCTAAGAAAGTACCCAGAATGGTTACTTGGAGATTTTTATTGCATTTTATCTCAAAATGCTCAGAGCTTAAAACTGACCACGCTCCCCCTCCCCCCCCCCAAAAAAAATATACAGGCAGTGGAAAATTGACCGTGAACCGGTCCCCCACTTGTTAAAAATTTGTAGTGACGAATCTTCGTCTGGTTTCGCGCTAGTAACATTATCTTTGTGGCTTCTTGTTAAAGAGATGGGAGTCAGACCTTTTGCATTTTTGGACTTTATTTCCCTTTTACAAAAATACTCCTGAGCGCTGAATCAGAAACTTAACCCTTACTCTCTGACGGTAGTTTACTGCATGTCAGTTGGTTATGCCAATGCCCTCCAGCTGCAGTTTATTGGCAGATAGTTTGTCTTAACAGTGAAGGCTCCAATTGGCAGGAGTTGGAGGCCCTGGAGGGTGCCTGATACTGACCAGCTGGGGGCACTCACTTTGTTATCAGAGGACTCTCATTGTTCTCTGTGGCATGTATTGGAGTGCCTGTCCAGTTACCCTTGAAATGACATGGCAGATATTGGAGGGCCATGCAAAAAACATAGGAGATTTTCTTGAGGCACATATTGGCATGCGTTGGAGGGTCTAGTAGGGTAAGGGTTAAAGAAGATTAAATACACTGCAATTAAGTGTAGGATCCGATTTAAAGCAATAAAAGAAGACACTTGTTATTTTTTGGGACACAAACAAGAAAGTTTCAAAAACATTGGTCAAGCTGGGACTCAAACTTGAGTGGGTTGCTACCGAGGCGCATAACTCCAGCTCCAATGCTCTATGATGGGCGCATGTAACTGATTTCAATTCAATTCAAAAAGACATTTATTCCACACTCCTTTAGAGAATACATCCATAAATAAAAGCAATCTGGTAAATAACAAGATAACAAAATCAATAAATATGTCTCGAAAAAAATAATAATAAAAGTAAAATACGCTTTGAAGAAATGATAAACTTATTTCGATTTATGTACAAAAGAAAGTAAGGAGTATGGGGCTGTTTAAGTAAGCCGAGGCTTGTAGGAAACAGCCCTTACAGACAACACTAACAACAGAAAAACAACGTTATAATGACACACGGACGAGACAGACAAGACAAAAGACTTACACGACGATAGCTAACTACAAAATTATTAATAAAGACATGAAAGAGGAACAGAAGAAAGGAAAAGGTGAGAGTCGAGGAGGGAAAATGGAGGAAATAATCATACAGGAAGCAACTTTTGAATAAAAGAGGAGTCCGATCAAGCAATTCTTTCCCAATCCGTAATTAAAATACAAATATTTACAACCATTTGTCATACACACTGACTAAAAAAGTTAACAAGTTTATTCACCATAACTTCCATAAGCACTCACCATTTTCTAGCCCAGGTGGACTCCCTTTCCTCCCTACATCACGGAGGGAGTCCAGGGTATGAAGTGCTCAAAACCAGGCGCAAAAATTTATGACCAATATTTTCAATATTTTTACCTTGTTGGAGAAGGTAATTTTTACGTCTTAGTATTCTATGTGTCCTTATCTATTGATCCGGGGGGGGTTCACGAATTCCATATGCGATGCTGACCGACGTTAATCAGGAAAATAAACTCTAAAGCAACATTAAACTTGTACGTTTTTGTAGACTCTTTTCATTAGTTTCTCACACGTACTGACAATGACCGAGTCTAGTCGTACATGGCGTACGTACTGGCGTGCAACATGAACGCGCAGTGCGCACGCGCGATTTGCTTAGTAACCGCCCTCATACGCATGCGCACTAACTTGTAGGCGCGGTCGCCTATCCAATGACCGAGCGTGTTTTCGCGACAGTTACCAGAAATATGTTTCGGCTTTGGTCATTGGTTGAGCGTTTTCGTGACTTCGGTTGGCTGGAGTGGCGTCACTGTTCCAACCAAAACTAAACAAAAGGAGGGCACTAGCGTGCGTGTGCGCTTTCGTACGCGCGTACATCATGTACATGTACATGACGTACGACTTGATGATAAACTGATGAAAAGAGACTACAAACACGTACAAGTTTACATCTACACATATATTCATTCCCAGAATGAGTAACAACGTCACAACTACTGCTGTTTCTAAAAAAAAAAATTGAAATAAGAAAATAAAAACAACTCACCATTTTTTTCTCTAATTTGTTTGCCGACTCCGGTCACGTGCAGAAATCCTGTTCAGCTTTCCAGTTCTACCGTCATTTGACCGTATGGCTGTTCAACTGGTTGACACTGTTCAAAACCGAAGCCCAGCTATCAATATAGAGAGAGCATTTCTGTCACATTTTGGCAGAAAATCCTAACCTTTCTTTGTGCCTTTACAAGAGAGAAGACAGTCCTCAAACACCACCAAAATTTCCATTTTTTGAAGAGACAACTCGCACAAAACGCCGCCATTTTGTTTCTCTGAACCAAATTGAATTTCCGTATGGTACCCTAACTAGTTATCAGTACAGTTGTTAGATATGAAGTCTAGGGTCCCAGACTTGAATTTAAATACCCACGTGTTAAATTTAAATACCCCCACGTGACTAGCTACGCCACTTTCCAGAATTCATGAAAATTTCTCTCAAACTTTCCAAGGTGTTAAAAAAGACATCATAGTATAAGCTTGATTTTTGGCTTTCTGTATAAAGTTTTGGGATCATGATTTTTTTTTGAGAGGGGGGGGGGGGGGGGGAGATATTTCCCTATTTTGAAATTTGATCCCTCCATTACAAAATAATAATTAAATATACTACAATTTGGGCAAAATTTCATCCAAATTTTGTCAGAAACATTTCCTTGGTAAAAACATGGAGCTATGGTAAAGGTATCATTAAACCCCCTTGATAAACATTTTAAAAGGGGGCAATTTAAAGTTTTACGAGATTTTATACTCAATTTGTAACCCTCCTTTGCAAACATTCAATATGCACAAAGTTGTCCTTTCAGTCAAAATCAATCAAGTGACTGTTTTTAACAGTTAAAAGCTCGTAGCGTACAGAAAGCAGGATTGACTGGTTGTGACTTGACAAATCTATGCTTTGACTGTTGGTGTTTGATAAGCCAGCTGTGCTGACTTGTCTGCTTTGGTCTGTTGACTGAATTTGACTAGTCACGGAGCTTGCTTGAAATATGATATGACTGTTGGTGACTAGCCTGTGTAAAAGGCATGGCAGGGAAGAAGATTTTTTTTTTTTTAACTGTCTGTGACTGTTTAGACAGCAGGAAGGTTAATGGCATAAGTCTAAAATGAAACAAAGGTAATCAGCTGATCCGAGGAAAAGTTACATGCTTGGCTAGAAAAGGAATCAGGTTTTTAAGATGGAATTTTTGCGTCGGGGTGATGTAAATCAAATTAGGTTTTGCCCTTCACCAACGTAAAAACACTGTATACTCAGTGTGTAACCTTCCAAGTGAAAGTTGGAAAAAATCACTCGGATTAAATTCGAACCAGCCAACCGATCCTGTTAGCTCGGTGGTCGAGTGGTAAGACATCTGCACTAGAAAGCAGGTCACAGGTTTGAGTCCCACCTGAGTGTTTTTTTTTCGAACTTTCACTCGGGAGGTAACACACTGAGTATACAGTGTTTAAACGTCGGTGAAAAGAGAAAACCTAACTTGATGAATCAGGTTTTGAGAATTGGGCCAAAACAGTGACTATCATCCAATGCAAAGGCAAGAAACACAGAAATATCGACCATTACACGATATCTTCCCTGAGGTAGCTTAAGCATACATTTTATTTGTCCTGTCCAATCTCGTTACTTCCAGTTACTACACTTTTATTTGTTCCCCACCACAGCACTAGGCCCGCACGGCAGACAGAAAGCCACGTCTGACAATCCAAAAACACGCCTGAAATCCTAACCATCCTTGCAGTTTCTTGAAAATCTTTTCTTTCCTTCCGTTCATTAATACAGATTATTCATTTCAGCATTTTCAATTTTTTGAAACTCGATAACGATACTTTGCTGCATGTTTTTTGTGTGTGACAATTTCAGTTCATCCATGCGATAATTTACGGCACAATTGTAATTACAATATGTAAGATTACAGTTTTCCCCCCCCCCCTTCTTTCATAAAGACTCCAAAAATGGTATACGTGTTACATTTTACAAGCACATAATGTGTCGAAATAATTCTTTTTGCTTGCTATAATTTTAATATAATAATAATTAATATATACAATTTAAATTTTTGAATTTGCTTTTTCAATATAACATATTTTGCATGAACAGCCACGTTTAAGTATACACAAGTTAATTTTAATTACATAAAAGCTGAAAATTTTAAAATGAATAGATACAATAACAGCTGTTTATACCCAAAAAACATCCTCTAATAATTCAATAGTTGGTGCATTTACTGTACACACAAAACAAAAACAAAGACAAAACTGTAGCCGCGCAAATATGTCCGAAAATTTCTTATGGGTGAAACTTCATTGATTTTTTTCTTGAAATCCATTCAAATAGGAAAAAGTGCAAGTGTGTTTCATTGCGTGAATGCACAAAACGAAAACATCGCCATTTTCGCCCAACAAAACTCCAAATTGTGTGCAACGTTCAAAACCACGCTGATTAACAATTAAAGCCACTTTTTGAGGGGGGTGCAGACAACTTTGATCAACGCTAGACATTAGCCCGTTAATGGTATCACAAATGTTCATATCTACAAATGTACACGAAATCAGCATAACTCCTTTTTATGTAAATTTCACTGTAATTCTCCCCGAAAATGAAAAAGAAAAAAAATTATCTGAATACCTTACTTCAATTTCGCCCCTCGTTTTACAAATTTGAAAACTCTAATTTTGCGGGGCTTTCTCTACAATTAGTCAGTATTTATATGCATGATAGGCATTTTGTGTCCATGCTGGGCACTTCTCTCTGCGGCTGTGGCTAATCCTTGCATTGCAGTCAATGACAACAGTGTAAGTCGTAGCCCGAAATGTCTGCATTTATAAGGACAAGTCTTAGCACCAAATCTAGACTGGTGCCTGTTTGTATAGTGTCTCCTCCCATTATGTTCTGTACAGCTGCAGTCAGGTACAAGACCACAATGGCTGCCGTACATACACAGACACCTATTAAACATGCATAGGATGTCTACATCAACTGCATACTCCTACTCTTGCGTTTATTTACAAGAAAATGTCATGTTTGTAAAGCACAAAGTTCTTGAAACTCACAGTTTACGAAATTAATCATCAATAAATCTGCCGTTAAAAGCTTGCAAACAGATTCAATTATAGTCAAAGCAAACGTAGGTTAAAATCATGCATTACAATGAAGACAAAATGAAATCAAATTTACGAGTAAAACATTGATATATACAGCAGATTTCAAAAGCAAGAATAAGCTTTTAACTTGTTTCTTGCATTTTTTTTGACATGCACTGTACACATAAATGAAATATGGCTTTACACATACATACTACAGTTTAACCCCACTGTACAGAACACTTTATGCGCGCTTAAAAGTAGAAAAACAAAAATGAAATTAAGATTTTGTCTTTATTTTGACAAGCCTACAAGTTGTATAGAGCGGTACACATGTAACAGATATATGTAATATAAAACAAAACAAAAAATCAGTGTATTAATTGTGTATTTACTCATGCAGCATCTTTAAAAATGTTAGTATGACATAAAATGGATCTTATTTTAAACTTGTTTCGAGTCATTTTTATTCCAACAAACAATCTGAATCATTTTATTTTGCAAATTACATGCTTCAGGACTTTTCTGACAGGACTGTTTATCAGAAGCAACTTACATGCAAATTTTGCTCTTTGTTTTTTTATTTGTCCATTTCCTCTGAGATTTTGGGCCAGAAATATTGTACAAAAGCCGCAAAGTTGTGGCGGAAAAATTGGCTAAATCTGTGCGAATTTGTTATATTTGGCAACAATTCCAGCTTAATTCAGCACAGCAATATGTATATCCATTGTCCAATTTTCAAAATGATGTATGAGGAACTCAGTGGAAAACAATTCTTCAGTATAAAATTTCCAGTAAAAAAAAAAAAAACGCTCAAAATCAGTCAGGATTTACAACTGTATATACAATAAATAACATACTGGCTGGCGTCCTGCCTTTACAAAGCAAACTCTATGCGTATCACTGGTAACCCTTTCATATTACTGTCTTGTTATCCGCTGTGCTTAATCCAACGCTATTTGCCAATTCCCTCAATTCTTTTTCAAAAAAGCTGATCCATTCATTTCATCATGATTAGGTTTTTTATTCCAACTTTTGGCAAAACACCACAGCAAAAAATCGAAAATCGGCACGGCAGCCGGCAAATCATTTCAATGTAATATTTCCTGCAAAATTACTGTTATACTATTTTCAAAAAAAAATATATATAGCTCGCTCTTTGTCGGTGTATTTCAGTTTCTTAACGCCGAGTTCTGACAAAGCTGCGGCAAAAATTAAAAAGCATTAATTTTTTTTGGGAATTTTTTTTTTCCAGAAAGAAATTCAGTTGACTACAAGGTTTTATAGCTGACTACATGCCTTGATAGCTACGATTAGAATATAACAACATGAAATATCTGAAAAAAAATCTTTCCTTTTTTTTTTTTTAAATAATATACCCGTGATTTAAAATTGAGTTTTAAATTTCGATTTCATTTTTATCCCTTAGATTCTCAAAAAAAAAATTTGACATGTGGGAAGATGTTGGCCACCTTCTAAGAAACGGGACAAGCCAATGATTGGACTTATGTTTATTTTTAGTAATTCTCGTGGAGAAAAACAGCATAATTCCACGTCTGGCAACGGTCCAAATTCCCAGACTACTACAGGGTCGTCATGGCGATTCACTCTCATAAAGCCGAGCTTGTTGTAATCCTAACGAAAATAGGGGTTTCTGTAATGCGTATCCAGGGCAATTTTTTTTCAGAACGGGTAAATATTTGGGAAAGAACGGCTCGCTCTGATTACGTTTGGGCTTTTGCGAATTGGCACTGATCCAAACTTTGTCAGTACAAAATATCCTTTCTGCCAGTAGAATTCGATCAAAAAAAAACAAAAAAATATACAAAATGTAATAGGTTGAAACCTAGGATGATTTTTTTTAATACTGATCAGTTGGTCGATAAAGAATATTCAAATTTGATTTTTTTTTTGCGAGGGGGGGGGGGGTAAATAAGAAAATGTCCTGTACTGAAAGGGTGGCCAACATCTAAGTATACATGTAAGTTCTGTGATGATCACAAAAGTAAAAATTGAAACCGCAAAAAAACAAAAAACAAAAAAACATAAAAAGTACAAATACAAGCCTGTTTACTTCAAATTATAGTAAACATAAAATATTTATGTGCAAAACAACAGGGCAGTTAATTTAATTCAGAGTTAGCTTTTCTCCATATACTTGTAATTTTACTCTCTATATATATTATTCACAAATTATAACGTCCAACCCTGAAAACCAAATACCCTGACCTGCTGTTCTGCACGTTGATTACAACCCCGGAACATACCATTATGTTCCAGAGGAGGGTATAATCGATCTGTACATACAAAATAAAGTCAAATTTGTTAAAGCGTGTGAGGAAATTTACAGGTGAACGCTTGATTAAAAAAACCAAAAAAAAGGAGATTTTAAGCGAAATACATTTCTCCAAAACTGCAGCATTAAAATGTCCCGTTTATTCTGATACATAAGGCACCAAAACATTTGAATATACATGCTAGCGAACAGAAAAACCAAAAGAAATCCTACCCACTTTCCAAAACAATAAAAGAAACCTCCCAAACGATGGGCCAAAGTTCGAAACTTTGCAGTCAACAACCAACTTACTTTGCTACAATTTACACATGTTCACTGACAACAATAATACCTGTTACGTTTCTTTTTTCTATCCCTCTCGGACAACGCATCGTGGGACTTAATACTGGCCACTTTTTTCTTTAAAGTTTTACACTTGGCAACACCGTCTACGCGTTCGTTCACTGTAAATGTTTGTCTCCAATAAACCAAAACAATGCTTAACTGTACACACACACAAACCCATTACTCCGGGTATTTTGAAACGTGTCCACGCCATCAACATAAAGGATTTTTTCCTAAGATAAGACAAAAGACAAATTATCCTCCTAGCCTTTTCCTTGTCAAATACCTAAACCTTCGCAGGGGGAAAAAACAAACATATTCACAGTTTCCCCAACCTTTGAAGATAAAATACACATCGCATGTTTTCTGCCTACACCCAAAAAAAATATATTGAGACAGTTAATTTTTTTCACAAACAGCAGCACTCTTGTTGGAAGTTAAATGCAATTCAATCACCGTATACAATATATATAGCATTTCAAATCCACACTAGCTTGTAAATTGTCTTCTTCTTTTTTAAGCAAAAAATGAGGTAGATTCATTGATCGGAAGTTTTTAAAGCAAACATTTGTTAACAATTTCATAGTTTCTTTTTTAAATTTTACTTGATACACAAGGCTTCCAAATCTCAGCTACAGGCTTATAGAAATCCCTTTTTTCATCTTGTGTCGATTTCTCTTCAATTTTTTGTTTTTAAATACATGTGCATCAAAAAAGCGTGCGCAAAAAAGGCCGGCACCCCTGATATAAAACTGTTGGCACTTTTTGTTTTTTTTCTGGTTAAAGACTGCTTTCCAAAATTGATGCTTCAATGTTATGTACACGCACATTACGCTTACAACTCATGCATTCTGGGCAGTCCGAACCCTTATTTGTTAGTTCCCGTGATTTTCAAACTTTCCAGCATATATTTACAGTGTTTTGCTCAATCTGTACAAGCCTGATTCCTGAATCATTTTTCTTAGCCTTTTGCTATTTTGGAGTCCTCAGTGTTTATTTGTATTCGTTCATCTTTCCCTGTCTTCTCTACGCATCAGATGCTGATTTAGGACTACTAGCAGGGCTGTTTGTTTTCGGGCAAACCTCGACAGATTTCCACTTCCCGTCGGCCTTCTCTTCTTTGGCTTTTCTCGTCTCCTCCGATTCGCCGTTCGACACCCTCGCCTTGCTCATCTCAGCGAGCTGACGTTTCAGCTCGTCCCGCTCGGATTCAACTGCGTCGAGCCGCTCGCGCATGTAGTCGTTCTCCGCCCGCAAGCGTGCGCGCTCCTTGCCCGCGGTACCCTCGTGTGAGCCTTTGCGGTTGCGCAGCGATTCCAGCTCGTTCCTCAGGTGCTGCTTGGAGTCACTCAGCTCGCGCAGCCGGCGCTCGTACTCCGTGCGCAACCTTTCGTTCTCCTTGCGCAGGTTGCGCTTGGTCTCTGCCGCTTCTCGCAATTTCTCTTTCTTGGTCGCTCGAACAAACTCCAGCTCCTGTACAAGAACAAAAATCATTTTGGTTTTCACAAAACAAGGTAATAACTTTGCTGTCCCTATATGTGTAAGGACACAATAATGGCAACCAAACGTGCATGCTGTTAGTTTTCTCGTACATTGTTGGGAGAAACATCCCTTTCAGTGGAAAACAACATTGAAAAGATAATAGGCCACATATTTTTCACTGCAAGGCAGATTATACTGCAGTGAAATTTTTTTTTCTGATTAAAATCAAATTGCGGATAAAAGCTAGAGAAATAGGTTTTTCACTAATAAGTGGACACTATCTAACATTAAAAGTTACAGCATCTTCTCCTCAAGTTTTTTTCCGTAATTTGATTTTAATAAGAAATGGATACCTTGACAAGACTACAAGGAGCTCACAATTGTCTTGTTTGATACTTGCAGAAGAATGCACAAGTGGAAAGTGGTCACCATGTAATACGTTAACTGTCCAAAAATACCATTATAATCTGCCTGGCAGTAAAAAATATTTTGTCTATTATATTTTCAATGTTGTTTTCAACTTTAAGGCATTGTTTAAAAGGTTGTGACATGACTTGAGATTGTATGACTTGTGGTTGACTTTTCAGAACTGGTGTGACGAACTCCAAACAACGCTGGCTCATTGAAAAATGGGATTAGGATAAATTATAAACCAGGATTATAATCGTTACTGGCGTACCTGCTGGAGATCTTTCTTGGCTGTGAGGGCGCTCTGCAGCCGCTCTTCTTGCTGCAGACGGATGCGGGCCAGCTCGTGGAGTAGTTTCTCCCGCCCGGCCCGCGTCTCCACCGCGTCGCTCTCCAGCATTCCGCGCACCATTTCGATTTCCTCCTCCATGTTGGATTCCCTGGCCATCGCGTCCTCGTCTGACCACCTCTTGCGGGTCGGGCTGCCTCCACATTCTACACAACGTTAGACAAATAAATATTTTAGTCATGCTTTTTAGATCATACTCAACATCTGGAAATATGCCAATTTTTTTTTTTTTCCCCAACTTGCAAAAAAATTAAGCAAACTTTAATCTTGCCGTTCTTTGCAATGCCATTATGTTGCATTAACCCTAACAGAACTCAACCCATCAAAACCCAACGGCATGTTTTGTTGGAATCTGTCGGGATGGGTACAGTACCCCTAAACTGACAGTCTTTTACATTGGGTTGCACACTTCCAGAATCAAAGTTAGAAATATATGTGTGCAGTTTCCCATATGGTGTTGGAATTTGCCGGGATGGGTATGGTTCCTAGTAAATCATGCTAGGGAGTTCATTGTATACTGCATTCATGTGAAGGCAACACTACAAGTTTTTTTTTGGCCTTAAGGGATGTACACATGCGCATAAGTCAAAATTCCTCGCTAACCTGTGAAATACGCTTACCCGTAAGCTCAAAATTTTCTGCTACAGTTCAAGAACATTCTTATTTTTCCATGGCCACACTAAGCAGGGATGTTTCGCTAACGGTATTGCAGAGCCATGAAATTTGGGCCCCGATCTGTGACAAGCGCAGTCAAGCTGAGATGAATCAAATCCAATCTTGGGAAGTTTGGCAACCTGACCCACTATTCAATGCTCTTTACCTGATGATCGATCTCTGGATTCGGAGCTGGAGTCCTTGGATTCTGTTCCGTCGCTCTTCTGGGGCGTCTCCGGCTTGCTGGGCGGGGCCAGTGTGACGTTGGGGGCGTAGTGACTGTCGTAACTAGAGAGAGGGGCAACAGGGGGGGGGGGGAAGAAAGAGTAAAAATTAACAGTAAGAACTGATGTAACATTTTCTATGTTGTACCCACGTCAAGACTGCATTACATGAGTGCATTCTACACAGGTATTAATCAATTAAAACACTCCTATTGTTTGATCAGTCACACATAGTCAAAAATCTCTACAACTTCCCTTGCCATGCATTTGTATACAGACTAGTCAAAAACAGTCAGATCACATTCATGTAAACACTGTGACTAGTCAAATTCCATCAACAGACAAAAGAGGTAACTGGTTGGTACAGCTGGCATATCAATCACCTCCAGTCAAAGCATGGCTATATCAAATTAACACGGGAATTCCTAAACTTTTAAAAACAGTCACTTGATTGATTTTGACTGCTGTGATGGCGTAGCTGAATTTGCCAGGCAGAGGGGAGGCTTTTATAAAATTCTTCCCTGGTTGAGAACAGATTTGAGACGCTCTTCAAGGTTAGAAAATCCAAAGTGAAAGGCCAACTCGCATACAAAGTAGTGGCAGTGTGAACGGCATGCCTTGTCTATCCGTGTTGCTTCCGTCGCACCAGGTTCCGCTAACCGTGGCCCCGCGTTGATTTCAGCCCGCGTAGGTGCGACAATAGTGCGTAATAACCTTGGTATTGTTGGGAGGGGGAAGAGGGGTGAAGGGTCGGGGGGGGGGGGGACTTGTCTACTTACTTGGATGCAGCTGTGTGGGGCACGACCCTCTCTGGGTTGAGAAGCACTGGCGGGCCCATGCTGAGGTACGTTGGGATGCCACGACTGTGGAGACAGACACAGAGACAAACAGACAAACCATAAATACATGTACGTATCAATGCTGTTTAAATACATGTAACAATGTTGTTATTGTGGTTGATTTTAGCTGCTTTGTGCCGAAAAATGGCAGCACGGAGCTGTATACTCCCTAGGGAGCTGAGATTGTATTTGGAATGTTTCATTGGCCCAATGAGCAGGGTAATAATGATACATAGGGCCTTGAGCACCAATATTGGTGGATATGTGCGCTTTATATACACATTATTCTCCAATAAATTTTAAGAAATCAGTTTAAAATTTGTGAACTATCCAATATCGTCATCTTTTATAGAGCCCAAGCAATCAAGAGTACAACCAACAAAAAAATAGGTCAACAAATAACCTTTCACTGAAAACAAGGTTTGGCTCAATTTAATTAATTCCTTAATTGATTATTCAATTTCCATGAGCTTGAATAATTGAGGTTAATGGACAGAGGGATTTGCATACATAGTCGACATATGGCAAATTAACAGTGCTGATAAAAAAATGCACTGAAGTGCAAATGTGTAAGTGGGTCAGTATCACAGCTTCTCAACTAACAGCAACAACTACCCTAGGAAAATGAAATGGAGTTAACAAATATTCCAGTGAACGAAACTTGGGAAATGCAAAACTGATATCAAAAATGTGCAACTTCTAATTCTTAAAGCCCGGTTCATACTCGGCGCGAAAGCGAACGCGAACGCGAATTTGTGTCGTCAGGGCGTGTTTTCGCGATGCGAATTCGCACAAGTTGAAGTGAACACCTTTCAACTCCGGCGAATTTCGCAGCGAATGCTCCCCGGACGTCAAATTCGATTCGCATTCGCGTGGAGTATGAACCAGGCTTTATACTCGATTCAAAAAAATGAATCATAACATTGTTTATTGATAAAATATTCCAAAATTTGTATGTTAGACTATCTTCATTCTGGTGTTTTCTTCTTTTGTAATGGTATCATTTCCCTGGCAATTTCCATCATCAAAGGAGAGTATCATACCTTCTCCGACCCCAGCTGACTTTATCTTAAGTACGAGTGATGTAAGATACATGTACATGTACATGTACATCCCCCACATGTGCATGAACATTTTCATTTTCCACAATTTATGTAAAAACATACTGAGGCATTGCTTAATTTGCAGATAAAAAGCATGGCAAACATGTCCACAACTTGCACAAGCAAAAAAAAAAAAGAAGTGGTTAAGGCCAAAAAAAAAAAGTCTCCGGTTTCTGGTATGCGCGCGAGTCGCCGTAGCCATGCGCGTCGGCAAAATGAAAAAGTTTTTTTTTAATGAAAGATGATGTCTCAAAACTGCCAAAATCACTGGTTTGACAGGAATCCTGCTGCTGCACAATTTTAACGTGTTTTTAGATTGGGTTATGGTCGAGAATAAGCTGTATGTGGCCTCTCTGGACTCCCATCTATTTGCACTAAGTTTAGTCGGGCACCATTTGCAGTCATCAGCCGACATTTCAATGATTTGAAGCAAAAAAATCAGGTAAAAGAAAAAAAAAGCCGCGTCGCCACACCACTTTTTGGGCAAGCTCCATACCAGAAACCGGAGACTTTTTTTTTTTGGCCTAAAACACGAACTCTCAATAAAAAAAATATCCCCACAGATATTGAGCAATGACAAAAGGTCACGGGACAGTGGGAACCGGTCTAGGTATGGGACCGCCAATGGGAACAAAAAGGGAAGCCGACCGTAACAGATGGTCTGGTTCCCAACCTCATTAAGGTCATGTCACAAGTGGCTGGCTATCAATCAACCATTTGATGTCAAAGGCAGGTGGTCTGTGGGGCCTGACCAAAACCACAGATCAGGGAAGCCAACTGGACTTAATGGGCAAATCTATAGCTCATGCAGCCGGCGATATAAAAGTGCACATGTGGGTCATTTTATACAATATAGGGTCCAAAGCTTTACATTTTTCCTGTCCCTGTTACCTTGGTGGTACTTTGTAATTTGTTATTCAAGTATCATTAAGAAAGACTTCAAACACTTTTTAGCTGCAGGTAGTAGCTCAACAAATCATCATGTCTCTCTGTCCATTAGTTTCTCTGTCCGTTAACCGGACTAATTAGTCCCTTTAGTCTGTTAGTCCGTTAGTCTGTTAATCAGTTAGTCAGTTAAAGGGACACTAGGTCCTGGAACAGCCCAATTGGGCTACAAAACGCGCTTTGAATGAGATGATGATAATCGTAAATAACATTTAAAAGTAGGATATAAACATCCACACAACTACCCTTTTAAAACTGGGCGTTTTTGTGTTATTCCTGTATTATGCGTGCGAAAACGAATTTCGGGTCCACTTTTGCGACCCCATAATTTTGAGCTGTTTGGATGCTACTTGTGATTTCATTCATTAAGTGTTCGCCTTTTGCGGACGTTGAAGAAACCACATTGTTTGCACTGGTGATTGGTCACCGCTGTTCCCGAGACACACAACGTACAGTGTACATATCGTACACTGTATGAGAACGACACGAAAAATGTATTCACACTCCTTCGTGTCCGATGTAAACCAACCGGGGATTTTTCCTCTTTTCTCAGGAACGGTAAGACATTTGGTTTCCTTTCAACCACATGTTTGAAATAGGATAAGTAAACAATCCAAAACATGAAATTTTCAGGGATTTCATGACCTAGTGCCCCTTAAATGACAACCTCATAATTAATCACTCCAACTGATATGATCTGGCACCCCCCCCCCCTCCAAAAACCCATGAAAAGCAAACTTTAAAAACATCTGTCCTTTATTTGCATAAAAAGACCAATAGTTCCCCAGTCTCCTGCTTGGCACATGTAACATGCATTGACCCCAAAACCCGACAATAACAAATAAATTGAAACGACCTTCCACTTGCCAAACTTGTCTTTGAAAAATGGAACAGCCTTGGTCTTACTGAATACCATACTGTACTTTGATCCCAAGGGGTATAGTAAAAAATATTACATCTCTAGTGGCGATTATAATGGGCATTTATTTGCAGAACGTGGCGCCTTTCCATATGTTGTAGTAATCTTTGAATTACACATGTACATGTACATGTGTATGTACATGTACATGTACACATGTACATGTACATGTGTACATGTACATGGGGTCTGCATTTTTTTCTGTCCTTGTTACATCTGACATCTGGGATTTTGTAATTCTGGCTTTCTGATGCACTCCTTAACGCTAACTAGAGGCACTTTTGCTAGGATATGCAACCTCAATCCTGCAAAGTCCTCCGTTATTTCTTGAATGTGGTCCTTGGAGGGGTGACCACTGCCTCAATCGTGCAAAATCCTCCAGCAATCACTGTCAATATGTTGAGGCAGAGCCAGTGACATCCTGGAGCAGTGTGGAAGATTTCAAGTATAATCTAGGCCTAAAGTTATGCACGGTTGAGTATAAACAACACAAGGTCCAGCCCATGACCTTGACACAGTGCATTCTCCAAAATCAGCCACACATTTTTTGCCATATAGCCTCAATCCCATGAAATCCTGAATTTTGCAAAGAGGATTTTGGAGGATTTGGGAAGGTTAGGGTTAATGCAGTCGTCCTCCAAGAGTGGTTATGAATAGCACACTACCGGTACCTATCCTACATTTAAACAAATTTCCTTGAAGTCATTCTTAATGATACTTGAATGGCAAATTACAATGTACCAAGTTTAACTTGACAGTAAACATGTCACACCTTGGATGGACCCTTAATTTATGTACAAACTGCTTCCCAAAATTCATCATTATTTTCCAACATCAGCTTAAATTCATGAAGAAAAATAGTAAACATCTTCACAAACAAAAAGAAAATCCAAATCTGAAAAAAGAATTTATAGGCCTACATGTACCATCAAAGTAAAATATCACACAAGAAGGGGGAAAAAACAAGCAGACAAAATCAGAATATTCAGGATCAAACAAACAATCAAAATTGATCCCTTGGGGGAGGGGTATAGAAAGTAGGAACCCAACATTCCTGGCGATCACATATCTGGCTGGGTCAATCTGTCTAGTGTCTGAAGGACCAGACACTGTCTAGCCGACCCAACGACCCGACCTGACCTTTTTTTCTTTCTCCCCAATGCCATTATCATGGCCACCGCCCACTAAGCAGGCTAGACCTCCCAAGGCCAGGCTAGGGGTCTAATATGCCTGCGCTGGCCACAACTCCATGCATTAACAGCATGTGGGTGACCCCTAGCTAGAGTAAACAAATGCAGCACAAAGCACTTGAACAAGCAAGAGGCCCATTTTAGGGTAGTCACTGCATTTTCTTGTTTAGCTGTACATATGTACATGCATGTACAATGTACAATGTACATGCACTCCAATGTTGTACATTTACTTTGTTCAATATATCTTGAGATTTGAATTTTTATTTGAGTAAAGGCTGCTTTATAGTACTTCACGGAGTGTGGATTCGAAGGGAATTGGATGTCACGAAACATTCACTGCGAAATTTGCTGGCGTAACCGTTGAAATGTGTTGAACTTTTGTGAATTCGCTGTGGGGAATCGTGCCACGACTTCACAAGTTCACAAATTTGCGTTTGTGTTCGCTATGGCGTTGAGTATCATGAACCGGCCTGAATCCTTCTTGCTCAAAGAGAATCAAGTCAATATTTGGCAAAACACTCCCACTGAATTTTTGATTAGTAAATTCTGGATACATCTTTGTTTCCTGTACAATAATGAAGTGTGCATGTACATGTCATGTACTTTGAACGTTCTGGTTTTTTAACTGATTTTGCATTGTAACGCACAAGAGTTTGATTTTAGACAATAATTTCTGACATGCACTTTCAAACACAGTACTAAAAAAAAGAGATAAAAAACTTGTAACTTCTACTCTGTTGAAAAAAATGACCTTCTTTTATTTGTAAAAAAACATATCTAAAAGGGTACTTTTTGGTATGCTTGGAAACAGATCTGATATTCCAGGATTATAAAACACATTTCTTCCACACTATTTGAATTTATAGGCCTACATTATCACAAAGCAAATGTTTTTTGTCTGAGAATTTCTTACAGTTTAATATCAAAGGTATTTCCAACGCATAAAAAGCAATTCCAATCGCCCTAAAAAATTTGGATTGCTACCCGCAGTAGTTATACATAAATGGGCGTTCTTAAAAATATTATATCAAGTTTTGTGCACTATTATAACTGCAATTGCTTTGCTGACCCAAACGTCTACTTCTGGTAACATGAAATATTTGGTTGAAAGAAATTCAAATATGGGTCATCTACATGTATAAATTTAGGGTCCAAAGTGTGAAAATGTTACTGTCCCTGTATACTGAAATTTGTATCCTTGTGGAGACATTTCTTTGTTCTCGTGTACTAAAGTTTTTGAGTTTGAAAGTACAGTTTCAAAATGCTCTTATTTTAACCAGAATTAATTTCCTTGGCTGAAATTCGGACTTAATATCCCTTTTCTAAAACTCTACCATTTGCGACAGATCAACATACCTTGGAAATTCCTAGTTTTTGAGTATAATCCATATATGTATTTCGTGAAAACCTTGTGTAGACGTATTCATCTACATGTATAGAAATTTCCATGTGGAGACATATACAATCTTTTGTTTCCTATTGTGTGCATGTCTCCAGAGGGCACGGTGTATCAGATCCTGTTACCTTGGTACTTAGCAATTTGCTATTCAAGTATTGTTAATTAAGAATGACTTCGAAGCTTTTTTTTATTATTATTTGTTGGGTAGCTAGTTTGCTACTCATAATCACTCTTGGAGGACGACCGCATTAACCCTAACCCTCCTCAATCCTCCAAAATTCACCTGGCGGTTTTTGAAGGATTTTAGAGGATTGAGGCTGAATTGCAAAAAAATTGTCCGTTGATTTTTGAGGATGCATTGTGACGAGTTCGTACGCTGTACCCTGTATTGTTTATGTTCAGCCATGCATAACTGAACCCTGCATTATTCTCGATATCATCCGCACAGCTTCTGAATGTCATCGGCACTGCCTCAACCCATTAACAGTAATTGTTGGAGGATTTGGAAGGATTGAGGCAGTGGTCACCCCTCCACTGAACAAATTCAGGAAATAACAGATGATTTTGGAGGAGGATTGAGGCTGAATCCAATTTTTACATTTTGCAGGATTGAGGATGGTTTCTAGCCAAAAGGGCCTAGGGGTTAGGCCAAACAAATATATATTTCTGCTTTCAATTACATGGCAATTGAAAATAGGGTAGGTTGGTAGGGAAATTTTTTTTTTGCATTTTTTTTTGGTGTGCGATCATATGGAGGCGTCTGTGTGTAGTCAGGGTAAAAGGTAGAAATTGACGGTTTTGGGTGTTTTTTCTCATTTTCCCAATAAAAAAATTAGGGTAGGGGCAGTCAGAATAAGGTAGGTAGAGAAACCGGAAGCAGGACTATTATTTTTTTTTGGCCTTAGGGTTAACCATTTCATGTCGGATGACGTGTATATACACACAAAGGTTTTGCTGTATTCAGAACGGATGACGGATAAACGCGCAACAAGCGAGGTCGGAAGTATCTGTCTGCAACCTGCACGCAGCGAGGCCAGAAATATCAGGGTGTGCAACTTGCAGATGGCGGCCTGAACCCGTCTGGCATCGAGGTTCGTGAAAAACAATCCCGCGCCTGGGTCCGGTCAATGTCAAAATAATCCCGGCGCTAACTGGTTAACAAGTGCATCAGAATTATATAATCACTAATGTCAGATTAGACGTAACAGGGTCAGGAAAAAAAGTGGACTAAAATTTAAGGACTGTCTCATATTCAAATATCAAATTAGTTGAAAAGACTTGTACATGTAGAAAAGACCTTGTACATGTGGGTACAAGTCCAGAGACTTAAGTGAGAAAACTAAGAAAATAGCTAAGACCCACCTGTCTCTGACCAGGACCGTGCCGTGCTCAGGCAGCCCCTTGTTGTCTTTCCCCAGAGCAGAGGGGGACCAAGGTCTGAAAGCGGAGGGTCGCTGTAGGGACATCCCGTCGACCGACCACGCCGATGTTATAATGGCATCCTTGCTGTACGCATCATCCTCAATTTTTATCTTCTTGGCGTTTCCGTTCTCGTCGTAACCCTGCAGTTGTGAACAAAAACAAAAATGGTCAAATAAACCGAACAGGGAAACTCAACTACTCGAGTACTACTCTTGAGTACTTGCGAGTAGTTTACACTACTCGGTCTACTGATGTTTTTTTTAGTACTCAATTAATCATGGCATGAGTATGTAAATTGGGCAAAGAAATTGCCTGAAGAAATTGAGGGGGAAAACTGTCTTGAAAATCTGACAAAAGTTGGTCAGACTGTCAGTCAGTCGGTCTGTCTCACGTTTATAAAAAAAAACAAAGATTTTATTTAATATTTACAACTTACAAGGACTGGTCTGAACCATTTTCTACACCAATTTGATTTTTAAACAGCAGAGTAAAAAAGTGCAACGCTGCAGTTACCATTTACAAAAGCCTCAAGCAAGATTGACATTAAAAAGTCATATTTGTAAGCAAATACATCAAACAAAATCCAAATGTTTTGGAAATGGCTGTTGAAACACGCTGTTGAAACACGCAGTTCAATTTCTAAACAGCAAAAACTACAGACAGAAACAATTCAGAAGATTTGCTCAAAAAAAATTGAAGCTATCCACACCAAAATCATCCTTGTTTAGACCAATTTTTATCCCAAAAAAATCTAGTCAAAACAAGCCCAAGGCACGACACAATCACATTTTTTGCCATTTCACAACAAGATAGCAAAGCATTGACCTAGTTCACACAATACATTGGGCTTCCGAAACCAATCTCTGGTGGCCAGAATATTTCAAACACAAAGAACCCCCCCCCCCAAAAAAAAAAGAAAATAGCACAAACCATCCACCATTTTAAACGGAATGTACATCATTGGCTTTTGCTGTAATTTTCAGAAATGAACTATTTGAGGGGTTAGTATAATAGATCAAATATTGTTACACTGACATGTCTGAAGTTTTGTGTACGAAAATGCTGGAAAAACCAAGAAAAACAAAAATGTTCTAGTAGTCTGGTTCCCCGACTCCACTAAAGATGAAATGGATCAATTTATAGATGCCGGAAAATTGTAAGGTAAGGCCCTAGCTGGCCTGCACCCTTTCATGAACATGTAACCAATAGCAAACAAAATTTGGACTGAAAAAAAAAATGGTAAATTTGGAGCAGTAGTTGAAAAAAAGTTAGGTTTTTCCAACGGTGGTCAGCTGACCACCGTTGGAAATTTATACAAAAATACCACTTTTTTTTTAAATGACTTCATACCAGGTGCCATAATTGTACAGGATGCTTTAGACTGTCATTTACCAACAATTGAACATCCTAGTAAGGTATTTCTTAAAAAATTGGTAGTTTTGTTTTTTGATGTTTGCAAATGTTGTATATTCCCTTTAATTCAAGGGGGCGAGGGGAACATACAGAACGGCCTTGGTAAAAATGTTGGTGTCCTTGGAACTAGCAAGGATATGATGGGGGCCTCTTGGGAAATTGCAGTTATTGCCCCACTTTTTTCTCTTAAGGTCTTTCCCCTCCCCCCCCCTAAGAAAATGGAACACTGGACCAGAGCTGAATACCACTGGTTTTTCTCTTTTAGTGTAGCACGTCCACACACCACTGCACCTTGTAAGGCTACCCTGGATGGCCTAGATTAGTGGCAGCAACACAACAAATTATTCATGCTGTTCCCACCAGATGGCTAAATTAAAGTGGTCATCATGAACACTGCTAGATATTTTAAAGGCTGCAACTTGCAATGTTTACGTCATTAGGCGATTGATGTTTTAGCAAAATTGTTCTGCAAGTGCAACTTTGTTTCCCTTGCTAGCCAAACACGATCTTCAAATGTGCTGTTCAACTCTTTAATTTAAAAATGTTCGATATTAAATAACATTAGAAACGCAATTAGCTTTTTAACTTTGAGTTGGGTGGGCGGGGTTTGATGAATGCCAAGGGGGGGGGGGGGACTCCTTCAGCACACTGGATGACAGAGCATTTCCTATGCAAAACTCAGATCATCCAGAAAATCTGCTCTGATGTAGGAACGACCAATGTTTGGCAAATTTCCAAGCTTAATAGTCCACGCATACAATACACTTGTTGCACCACTGGCACCATACATTGAAACACCCAACAAAGGGTGATATTTTGTCCATTCTTTTCTCCACAGAAAGCACAAAAAAGTCCTTCACCCAAAAAATAACTAAATCTTCCTTACCAATGAACGTGCCTTAACATCTGCTCTGGCACTGAATGAATACATGCATGCTTCATTCCATCTGCATGTCATTCAACCCCCCACGCGCTAGGGCTCCAACATCGCTTCTTGGAAAGCCAGCTAGGCTAATGAGCAAACCATTCGCCAAGGCCATGGAGCATCCCCCCCCCCCCCCCCAGCACAGCAGCACAGCTGGCCTTGGCAAAACTAACCCCATACAGTTGTGGTTTTCCAAACTTCAAAACAACCTACCCCCTTTCAATTGTGTGATTTCCGTTTCCCTGCTTTCATTTGAATAGTTACACAATGCCCGCTTCTGGGGCAGGCAAAACACTCTCTTGAGGAGGGGCTTGGAAGGAAAAGTTTGATGACATTTTCGCTGGTGAACTCATTGGTAATGCAATACCTGGCATTTTGGAGGTGATTTACTTTTGTATCTAGGGGCTTGCGCTATAGATAAGTGACTTAACCATGCCTGTGAAATACATGTAGTTTATAAGCCTTTAAGTCTGTCCATTCAAAAATACATCACGTTAGGAATTAACATGTACGGTAACTTGCACAAGGGTGCTTTTCTTCAAATTCTTGCCTTCCTCCTCCGAACAACGTTCAAATAGAGCATGGAAGTCTTGCCAGTCAACGTTCACGTTTTATGTGAACGTCTAGTCACAGACTCCCGTATGTGAATTTACCCAATTGCTATCTACGTGATTAGTTGATATTTTTAACCATCTAATTTTCTAGCATTCCCAAAGTTATTTGCTTTTGAATAAAAGGAAAAAGCTATTTTTGTGTGTCTTGAAAATAACACCAAAGGAAAGTTGAATTCGTTGAAGAGCACAGAGAGTCCTTCTTTGATTGGGAGAATATTGACTTAGCTGCTGAGACCAGTGCCTGAGACTTGAATTAAAAAAAACTGACCCGACCCCTGAACTTTGACCTGACTCTGGCACAGTGCCAAACAGAGCCCATGTAGAAATCCCTTACAAGCTTTGACCCCGTGACCCCCAGGTTTCTTATCCCGCACAAACAGGACGTCGTCAGGGGGCATAGGAAGGACCCTGCATTTTATGAAGTAGGACAAAGCTTGGAGGGAGACCACATTAACTGTACTGCCTGCGGTCACAATTTTCCTTTTTCTTTAAAGTCACTTGTGTGTTGCTAGTTTTACTACCTTCAATTCAAAAACCCTTTTCTGCCATAACACAGTGAAATCTTGATAAGTCAAACTCTGATAACTCAAAACAACTGTTAAGTCAAACAAAGAATCCATTCCCCATAACAATGATATACAACCCTGCTTAACTCAAAACTCTGCTTAAGTCAAATTTTGAACCTGTTCCCTTGAGGTTTGACTTATCGAGATTTCACTGTACCTCAAATCTATTTTGCAGTGTAAATAATTCCTTTTCCAACTTCTTCCTTTGCTGTTTCTGTAAAACTTATTTATCCCAACCAGAATTTTGCACAATCTTGGTTACTTGTTTTTATCCCAAAGCGACAATCTCATAAAAAAAACGGACAAATACATCACATTTGTAACCAAGTTCCAATTCTGTCACTGTCAGTTGCATGCTTTCATGGGTTTAAATTTTATTGCCTCTAAACTTTCATCCAAAAAAGATTGTGTAATCCAATCCCCCCCCCCCAACCTACTAAAAACTCACAAGTTACACATAAACTCCTTTAACGACCCTACAAAAGTACCCTTTAAAGTCTCACTGCAGTCCACCTATTAGATTTTTTGTCATTCATGGACACTTTAAAAGATGGGAACAAAAGTGTCACCCCTCCCCCCCCCCCCCAACAAAAAAATAATCCAGGGTTCGCCAGGATGCAATAATCAAAACCGCCAGGCCAACTGTTTTTGAAAGACCTTGAAAAAAAAATGAAAGAAGAAATTCCATCACATACACAGTGTTTACATGATTAAGTCCTATCCCCAAAGCAGCAGGCATTCTGACTGTGTGCACATGTTTGGCACAAGATGGAGTAGAGTTGGCAACCAGCCAACATTTTTTTTCCAAGGACCATGGGACACATTTTCTTGGTAGGGGATATTACATGTACATGTAAACGCATTAGGTAATTGTACAATGTGTGTACATGTACCGGACTAGGACCAGCTTTTACATCATAACTCAATGGGTTTTAAGGCTTCACAAAAAGGAAAAAATGTTTGCCTCTGAAAACTTTAGGAGTTCTGTTTTTCAGTTTTTGTACCATTAATGACAGGTGGTTACAAAATGGTTTAACTTAAGGGTGCTTTTCTTGGTTTAGGAATAGGATTGGTAAGAATTTGGACAATGGGTATTTTTCTTTAGAAGGGGCAGGAAATGGAATATCTTTGGGGCTGATCTAGCCTTTATTATGCGTTTGAATGTCTAGAGGTATGAAAAATTGCTTCCTGCAATAGTCTGGTGCCACCAGTAACAGGGTGAAACATTGCAATATAATCACAGGACACTACACCAATATGGAGGATGCTCAATGAAAATCTCAACATACTTGCGCAAACACACAACAATAAGGGATGACTTCTCTGAACTTGGTTATTCAGACAATAGATCCTCACAACAACAAACTCAAGTGCAAACTCTCACAATTTTGGACAATACTAAAAAAAAATTCGCTGGCAACAAAAATGCAAGCCCAGCACAAACACCTTTGTGCCAAATTCCAAGTTCCATTTGGCAGTTGGCCAACAACTGGTGAATAACCCTTGGAGCCAGTGCATGCTACACTGGGAAGCTTAATTGAAGCTGAGAGGTACAACAGTACATTTATCTTTTTACATACGTCAAACCATGGTGCTGGTCAAATTAAGATCGTTTTTATGTATTAACGAATACATACATGTCAACGAGCATATATACCTACATGTTTGTAAGTGATGGCACACACTAACTTTAATTTGCTGGTATATAACACATAAGGCTATACAGAGCGAGTCAGAATGATCTTGACCCAAATTGAAGAAAATATTAAAAATGTAGCAATTATCAAACAAGTGCAAATGAGATATATGTTAAAGGCTGGTATTTTGGACATAAGTGGAGTCAGGTTGGCGTAGCGGTACTTTGCTCGCCTTCCACCGCTGTGACCCGCGTTTGATTCCCGCCTGGGCCAATAATTATGTGGATTGGGTTTTCAGTCCCTGCCTGGGTTTTCCTCAGAATACTCTTCTGGGGTTTTCCTCCCACCTCTAAAACTGTAATTTCTTCACATTGTCTTCTCTTTACTGGGACCCATGGGAGATCAGTGGATTCCACTGAATGGGCTACCCAGTTAAAATAAGAAATAAATAAATAAATAAATAAGTGAAAGTTTAATAGTACATGCGTGTAAATCCTAATTGTACCATTTTGAAGAAAAGCGCTAGCAAAAAAAACAGGCTAAAAACACTCGGACCACGGTTCTACGGTTCAACAAATACAATCGCGGTACTGATGTGGCTGCATTGTTTGAAATGCAGTCACACTGTTTGACAAAAAATTATGGAATTTTAAGTGCACTGCACACTAAGGGCAAGGACCCATTGTCATTAGTCAACGTCCACTTTATTTTAAAACTGGACATGAGCCAACAGAGCGGATATTTTGCAATTTGTGAAAATCCTGCTGGTAGCGACTTCAGACAAACAGAACACACTCTTGTTCTTCGATAAACAAAAAGAAAAAAGGAAGGGGTTGGTTTGTCAACACAAAACTGATTGTGACAATAACAGTTCCTATGCAAGGGCTCAATAAAAAAAAAAAACAGGCTTGGTGTTTCAAAAATAGAACTTCACTTCTGCTGGTACTGGTGTTTTGATGGCAATAGTTTATGTCCATAGACATGTAAGATGTCGAGACTATAAAGTTGAGGATAAACATGTATTAAAGCAATCTTCAAAATACTGCATGGTGTCCTCTGCCTGGGTGTTTACAATAATGTATACCAAAAGCAAGCCGTGATTATGTTTTTGCTTGAAGCAGTTGGCTCAAATTTAGCCAAAATGAATTATCACGTCCTCCGGGGTTTCTCTCTAATAAGAAATGAACTTCCCTTTAAGGCTGTTTTATACATCATGTACAAGCGAAAGCGAACAAAATTGACTTCATAAAAACATGCTGCGAAATTTGCCGTATTGCTGAAATCTATTCAACTTCTGTGAATTCGCAGGACAAATAGTATACCAATTAAAGGGAATATACAACATTTGCAAACATCGAAAAATAAAACTACCAAGTTTTTACGAAATACCTTACTAGGATGTTGGTAAACGACAGTCTCAAGCATCTTGTAAAATTATGGCACCTGGTGTGAAGTCATTTTCAAGAAAATGGTATTTTTGTAAACATTTCCAACGGTGGTCGGCTGACCAGCGTTGGAAAAACCTAACTATTTTTCAACTACTGCTCCAAATTTACCATTTTTTCAGTCCAAATTTTGTTTGCTATTGGTTGTATGTTCATGAACGGGTGCAGGCCAGCTAGACTGGTTCGCTTGCTTTACAATTTTCCATCATCTATAAATTGATCCATTTTATCTTTTGTGGAGTCAGGGAACCAGACTACTTGAACATTTTTGTTTTTCTGGGTTTTTCCAACCTTTTCGAACACAAAACTTAAAAAATGTCAGTGTAACAATATTTGATCTATTATACTAACCTCTCAAATAGTTCATTTCTGAAAATTACAGCAAAAGCCAATGATGTACATTCCCTTTTAAGACATCATGAAATTCAGCTTCACATTTAAAACTGGCCAGGGAGCTGGACATTGACCTCGTACAAGAGGTTAAAGCTAATAAAGTCAAACATTGACAAATTTCCAAAGATTTTGTTCAACAATGTTACTTCATGTTTTGTGAAACACCCCTCTGGCCATGTCTGTAATGGTATGTGCCTCGGCTGCATGGTGCATGGCTGAGTGTACTGCAATGTGGCGCAGAATGCAGCGGTGTTTTATCAGCAGCTTCAAAACACCCATGTGACAGGCTCTCGACCAATAGGAATGGGTAAACTGTCTCAGTATTTATGAATGCTGGTTTAGAATTGCTCCGCGATTTAGCCCTCA